TTTTTTTTTTTTTTTCCTTCCCCTCCCCCCTGGGTTTCTGTTAAGTTTCTCAGGATCCACATAAGAGTGAAAACACATGGTATCTGTCTTTCTCTGTATGACTTATTTCACTTAGCATAACACTCTCCAGTTCCATCCACGTTGCTACAAAAGGCCAGATTTCATTCTTTCTCATTGCCACGTAGTATTCCATTGTGTATATAAACCACAATTTCTTTATCCATTCATCAGTTGATGGACATTTAGGCTCTTTCCATAATTTGGCTATTGTTGAGAGGGCTGCTATAAACATTGGGGTACAAGTGCCCCTAGGCATCAGTACTCCTGTATCCCTTGGGTAAATTCCTAGCAGTGCTACTGCTGGGTCACAGGGTAGGTCTATTTTTAATTTTTTGAGGAACCTCCCCACTGTTTTCCAGAGCAGCTGCACCAATTTGCATTCCCACCAACAGTGCAAGAGGGTTCCCGTTTCTCCACATCCTCGCCAGCATCTATAGTCTCCTGATTTGTTCATTTTTGCCACTCTGACTGGCATGAGGTGATATCTGAGTGTGGTTTACTACACTCACATTAAAAACAGAATTTGATTGGGGCGCCTGGGTGGCTCAGTTGGTTGCGTGTCCAACTTCAGCTCAGATCATGATCTCGTGTCTCGTGAATCTGAGCCCCACATCAGGCTCTGTGCTGACAACCTGGAGCCTGCTTCGGATTCTGTGTCTCCCTCTCTCTGTCCCTCCCCCACTCATGCTGTCTCTCTCTCTCTCAAAAATAAACATTAAAAAAATTTTTTTCATAAAAGTATCAAATTTTTAAAAATTGGTTGACCTAATTTTAGGTCATAGGTACCAACAGAAAGTAAAGATGAGAAAAAGAAAGCTCAAAAGAACAAGACGAGTCATTAATGTGACCTTCATTAAGCCAGCATCTTCATATTATTTTAAAATACCAATGACTGACTTGCAAATAAGGTCAGAACTGTTCCAATATGAAAAAAGTTCAGAGGCACCTGGGCGGCTCAGTCAGTTAAGTGTCCAACTTCAGCTCAGGTCACTGACCTCACTGTTTGTGAGTTCAAACATCGCCGGGCTCTGTGCTAACAGCTCAGAGCCTGGAACCTACTTCAGATTCTGTGTCTCCTTCTCTCTCTGCCCCTCCCCCACACATGCTCAGTCTCTCTCAAATACAATAAAAATGTCAAAAAGAAAAATTAAAAAAAAAAAAAGTCAAAAGAAAAAAGTTCATCCTTTAGGAAGAGGGTTATCAAATCCCCAAACATCTTTTGCTCCCAAATCCTGAGTGGGAAACCTCTGCCCTGGACCTCTAGGGCTATCAAGTCCAAAGATAAAAGAATATACTAGAAAGAAAGATTTTCAATAAATTAAGGTAGTAGTCCAAAAATAATTAAAATGATTTTTTTGACTTAAGAGTCCCTCATCTTTTGGAAGAATTAGAAGGTAAGGGATGGATACCATTTGCGGTCTTTTAAAGTCCATCAACAGGGCAAGGGCACCTGGCTGGCTCAGTTGGTATGAGCATGCGACTCTTGATCTCGGGGTTGTGAGTTTGCCCCATACTGGGTGTAGAGCTTACTTTAAAAATACATATACTAAAATTTATTAACAAGTATTTGCAACGCAGAGACTAAGCTGAACCAACTGGAATATTTCACCCTCTTCATCCCATTTAAATGTTTATCTTATATACTAAATCTCTGATATTATTGTCTTTATTCCCTACAATGAAAACAGAAATTAGTAAAAACTCTCCCATTCTTGAGAGATAGGAGTTCCAGAAAGCATTCTTAGAAAACAGAGTGAAACACTGTAATTTTTCTCTGTTTTACAATAAGACTTGTCCATTTACCTCAAAAATCTCTTCCCTGGAAACCTCAATGCGGCAATGACCAGCCTGAGGCTGTTGTTGGGAAAGTTCTTGCCGCAAAATTTTTAACTTCTGAACCAGGTCTCGCTTGTACCGTGGGACTGTCAGACACTCTGCATCATCGGGACATAACGATACCACCTGCTGTTGCTGTTGGTCTTTCAACTGGTTCTGCCGACTAAAAGGAAACAGAAATGTGACTATTTGAAATGAAAGAGACTGCAGTTATACATTTAAAAGAACATCATCCTATAAAGCAAGTCTGCCTGTACGATTTTCAGTCCTTACGCTATTCTTTGCTTGACATTTGTGATGACAATACACGAGCTCCGAAGTTTATGTCTCAGAATCCACACACACTTGTGGCATTGGATAATGGAGTTTTACCCATCCAGCTTTGTACAGCTGCTAAGAACAAATTTCTCAAATGCCATCTCCATTTTTTTCTGCATACTTTACCATCAGCCATTTTAAAATTCAGGCGTATGCCAAACGCTGTGCCTGTTATCTCGAGTCTGTCTCTCTGAGAGAGACAAACAGTTGGAGCTGGCAGTTTGGCAGGAGTCCCCTTTCCTATACGTGCTAAGTCTAGACCACAAGAATGTGGAAAGTCACGTGTAAGTTACTGGCACAGAGAAATGAGCACATTACAAGCAAGTCTAAACGCTTTACAAAGTGACTACTCTTTCTTTTTATTGTGGTAAAATATACAACACATAAAATTTACTGTATTAACCTCTTTTTAATATAGTCAGTGGCATTAAGTACATTCACACTGTTGTACTGAAGTGACTTCTAAGTGTGCACATACATGGTTTACTACAAATACAAGAAAATAATCTCCCAAGTAGAGCAGAAATAGAATACTTTCAAAAAAGGCACACATTACCTAGAGATATTTTTATTCTCCCGGCAAAAGTATTCTAAGTTACACCTAAGAACTTTTTTTTTAAAGAACCTTATGATATAATGAACTACTTTATTCCAATAAGCTGTCAGGAAATAAAAAGTCTGATAATTCACTATGGATATCCATGCAGGCACTGAATCATCCTGGAGTTTAACTTTACACACAACAGATAGGAGCATCATCTCCTAACTTAAAGGTAAAGGGCAATGGTAGTCATAATAAAACAAACAAAATTAACTTTAAGGTTTCTAATAAATCACCCGAAACGATTTTTGGTTTTTTTACAAACAGTGGTTCTTATGTACCAGGCCAAATTGTATTCCTAAGACATGTATCTACCCAAAGAAAATGCAGCTTTGATGAAAATCACAAATCACTATTTACTACTCTCATAAACATGAAAGGTGTTTTTTACACACACATATAAACAAAAGCAAAACAGAGTATTAAAGATACTCCCTAAATAACTGTATTAATCCTATGCCAAAAACGAAACAAAACAAAAAAACCCACAAACTTGGGTATACCTCATACCACATACAAAAATTAAATTCAAAATCAATCAGACCTCCATGTAAAACTGAAAGCCATAAAACTTTTGAAACACAGAAGAAAATTTTCATGACCTATGTTAGGCTAAGGTTTCTCAGATATGACAACAGAAGTACAATCCATAAAAGAACAAATGGATAAACTGAACTTCATCAAAATTTCAAAAGAAGGGTGCCAACCCAGTTAAGTCGGACGACTTTGGCTCAGGTCATGACCTCATGGGTTCGAGCCCCGCAATGGGCTCTCTGCTGTCAGCACAGAGACCGCTTCGGATCCTCTATCCCCTCTCTCTGCCCCTCCCCAAATCACATTCTTGCTCTCCCTCTCTCAAAAATAACTATTAAAAAAAATTTTTTTTTAATTTCAAAAGATACTGTTCAGATAATGAAAAGACAAGTCATGGACTAGAAGAAAATCTTTCCAAAGCACTTATCTGGTATTTTGGCACTCTAAAGTATCTAAAGAACACAAAACACTCAAAAAATTAATGAACTACTCAATTTTTTTAAAGAGGAGGCAAACTATTTCACCAAATAAGATACAAAGACGGCAAATAAGCACGAGAAGATGCACATTAGTTACTAGAGAAATGCAAATTACAACCACGAGGCGGCGCCACCACACATCTACAAGTGGTAAGGTGAACCACACCAAATGTTAGCAAGGACACAGAGCAACTACAAGCCTCACCCGCTGCAGGAGGGAATGGCAAATGGTACAATAGCTCTGAAAAACAACCTGCCATTTCTTTTAAGTTAAACGTAAACCGTATGATGTAGCCGTTCTACTCCTAGGCGCTCATTTATCTTAGAGAAGAGCATATGTCCATACAAAGACCTACACATAAATGTCCATAATAGTTTTGTCATAACCAAAAAGAGGGAATAATCCAAATATCAATAGAAAAGAGGTAAATAAATTGTGGTATATCCATACAATGGAATACCATCTAGCAATGAAAATAAATTATATGCACATCAGAGATGAATCTCAAATAATTATGCTGGGTAAAAGAAACAAAACAGACTACATACTGCAGGAATCCATTTATCTAACTCTCTAGAAAATGCATACTAATATATAGTGACAGAAAGTAGACCAGAGATTAGGTGAAGATGGGGTGTGTTGCGGACTGAACTGTGTCCAAAAAGATGTGTTGAAGTCCAACCCTTGATGCCTGTGAATGTGACCTTATCTAGATATAGAGTCTCTGCAGATGTACTAAGAGGAGGTCATACTGCATCAGGGCGGCCCTAAATGCAATCAAGTGGTATCCTTATAAAAAGAGGGAAATTTGGATCCAGACACACAAAAAGGTGTGGAATAAGAAATGTACTTTGGCATTCCTGGTTCCTGACATGCAACTCCTAAAATCCTTTCAGTTTCCGGTGTGGCAGAGATGACAGGAGTGTCCTTTGTTCTAATATGTGGTCTTTGCCTCCAGTCTGACACACAGCTCCTAAATCCCTTACAATTTCCTGGGTAATTTTGGTTTGTTGTTTTGTTTTGTTTTTAATGTTTATTCATTTTTGAGAGAGCGAGTGAGCAAGAGAGAGCGAGCGAGCACAAGCAGGGGAGGGGCAGAGAGAAAGAGAGAGAGAGACACAGAGTCTGAAGCAGGCTCCAGGCTCGAACCCACAAACTGCGAGATCATGACCTGAGCTGAAGTCGGATGCTTAACTGAGCCACTCAGGCGCCCCAGGGGCATTTTTTGTTTTAATGAGGTGACTCTTACAGTGGAGCCCTAGATATCTTCAGAATGGGTGCTGGTCACTAGAAAAATCAAAGCTTGATTAGAAGCCTGGAATTTTCAGCCTCATCCTCCCAACCTCTGAGGAGAGGAGAGAGCTGGAGACTGAGTTAATAACTGATCACACATAGGTGATGACATGTCCATAAAACCCCCTAAATGACAGTGTGCAGAGAGCTCCCAGGTTGGTGAATGCACTGAGGCACTGGGAGGACGAAGCACCCAGAGAAGGCCTGGAAGCTCTTGGCTCCCCCAGCACCACACCTTGCCCTATGCACCCCTTCCATTCGGTGGTTCCGAGTTGTATCCTTTATAATAAACTGGTAATGGTACATAAAGTATCTCCAGGAGTTCTGCCAACCATTCTAGCAAATTACTGAACCCCAGAACGAAGTCATGAGAACTCCCCGATTTACAGCGGGTCAATAAGAACCAGAGAAGTCCTTGGACTTGGGATTGGCGTCTGAAGCGGGAACGGTCTTGTGAGACTGAGCCCTTAACCTGTGGGGTCTGGCGCCAACCACAGGTAGTGTCAGAACTGAATTCACTCATCGTATACCCAGCTGGTGTCCAGAGATCTGGAGAACTGATAGGTTTGAGGGAAAAACCCGTTTGGAGTCAGAGGTTTTGTGTGTGGAAACAGATCACAAGAGGCCACGTGAAGACGAAGACAAAGATGGAGATGATGTGTCTACAAGCCGAGGAACAGCAAGTTTTTCCAGCAACCACCAGAAGCTAGGAGAGAGTCACTGAACAGATTCTTCTTCAGAGCCTCCACAGGGGACCAGCCCTGAGGACAACTTGATCCTACACTTCTGGCCTCCAGACTGTGGGAGAACCCATTTCTGTTGTTTTAAACCACCCAGTGTGCGATATTTTGTTATGGCAGCCGTACAGGAGGAGGACTTAAGAAGCAAGAGGGAATTTTGGGGGGTGATAGATATGTTCACAATCTACATTGTGGTGATGGTTTCGTAGGCGTATAATATGTCAAAACTTAAATGGAACACTTTAAATATGCAGTTTATTGTATGTCGATTACATTTCAAGAAGGGTGATTAAAAAAATACCTGGGATGGGGGCGCCTGGGTGGCTCATCAGGTTAAGCAGCTGACTCTTGACTTCAGCTCAGGTCGTGATCTGAGGGTTTGTGGGTTCAAGCCCCATGTCAGGCTCCACACTGACAGTGCAGAGCCTGCTTGGGATTCTCTCTCTCTCCCTCTCTCTACCCCTTCCCTGCTCGTGGCATGCTCTCTTTCTCTTAAAATAAATAAATAAGCTTTTAAAAAATTTTTACCAAAAAAACATAAAAAACCCCTGGGATGGATCCAGCTATCCTGGAGCTACGTCTGATGTACTCAGGGGAAAGATAGAAAACATCACCCCTAGAAAGCATCCTGTCTCTTCAAGTGTGCCATAAGCACCTTTGATACACACCCTTTCCTTAATGCTTCAGAACAGGTTCCTACTTAAGTGCAGTGGGCTACTTAGGTACAGTGGGCTTAAAATGTTTCTGTATCAGAGTAGAACTTGTCATAGCCTCAAAATTTTGTCCAACAAAAGTAACTTACAACCGGAGAGAGCAATATTCTATCACATTACAAAAAGCATTTTCAGTCTTCTCTTGTTCAGGCTTGCATTTGAACATGTATTGTTTCAAAAACTTACTTTAAAACTAAATGCAAGTTAGCAGAGAGCCGAGGATCTGTAAATTGTGTTGTTCTGTTGTTATGGTCAACGAAATAAACTCTGCCTGTTGCAGTATTACGGATCTCCCATCCAGGAGGCAATGGACCAAGCTCTTCACAATTGATGTTGCTAAGATCCCTGCAAAAACAAATATAAAATAAAAAATACCTCATTGCTGGGCCTACTGAGCCAAGCAAGTGTAAATGACACAGAACAATTCCATGAAGTCTGAGAAAACGTATTGTTCCAGAAACCTGAGATGTCCAGCTAGAATCTTTAATTCCCAATGGTTTAACAAACTTGCATATTCAAAACCCAATTCATAAATGGCTCAGGAACTTATCACATAGCCTCCATTTTTAGTAAGTTCATTCCTGGGCCTTAATGTAATACAGATTTCAAATTAATATAAAAGCAATCACAACATTTGCCAACATAAACTGTACTTCAATACTAGTCTGACAAAATATTGTTTTACAAATGTCAGTGACATAAGGAATGAAATGTTCTCTGAACTCTCCCTTCAATTATTTTTCTTTATTGTACCATCAAATTTGTATAAATAAATGTTTATTCCATATTAATTTCTAACAAAGCAAAACTGGAAATGTTATTTAATTTACAGATCCTGAAAATAATCACAGTGTATATTTTAAGGGAAAACTGCTCCACTGGGAATTTTGAAAGCTATAAAGCTAGTGAATGAAGAACCTGTTTAAGACACCCAGGGAAGAATGCTCTAATGCTTACTGATACAGTAAGAAAAAGCAGAAAGGCTTTTAATGAATCAAAGACCATTGTTACTGTATCGCACATTCTTAAAATACTACTGTATGTAAACAAAGATTCACAGGACCTTAAAGAATAAGATAAAAACGTGTCTAATGTAAACTTAAACTGTAACAGATAATTATACTGATAAATCTCATCAAAATCGTGTTTTAAAAGTTAAACTAGAAAAAGATTTTTCCTGAAATAACCTCTTCTTGGTCATGGTGAAACATAATGGCAGACACACATAAGCACCCATAGATTTGTGGCAACAGTGATCTGACTTGTGCTTACAGGTGCTCCAAGAGACTCTTCTGCTACAAACTGAAGCTTAGAAAAAAAAACAACGCCAGTCTCCAAAGAGGAGGAAAAGTTTCAAGGATCCTCCTCAAATTAAAAAAAAAAAAAAAAAGTGACGAGCTGGAGCTGGTGCCATCAGCTGGGGGCGGGGCTGTCAGAGAGTAGTTAACTGGGAAATTCAGCCCCAGGCCAGCAGCAAGTTTGGAAAAGGAAATCTGGAACTTCCCTACTACACTGAGAACTCAAAAGGAAGATGAAATGAGTCCAGGAAAACTTCCTCATTTCCCACTTTAGATCAAACAAACTCACCAAGAGCACCACATACTCCTGAAAGAAGACATGATGATTAAGAGTGAGTGGGAACGATAAACCACAAAATTACATCAAACAGAATGGCTAGGCTATGCAACGTTTAGTAATAATTTTATAAAATTGGGTGGGGGCGACTGGGCGGCTGTCAGTTAAGCATCCGACTAGATTCCCACTCAGGTCATAATCTCACATTCGTGAGATTGAGCCCCGTGTCAGGCTCCATGCTAACAGCACAGGGCCTGCTTAGGATTCTCTCTCTCTCTCTCTCTCTGCCCCTCTCCCATACTCTCTCTCTCTCAAAAAAAATAAACTTAAAAAAGGAACAATTAAACACATGGATTTTTTTAACAGAATTTTTAGAAATGAAAAGTGATTACTAAAATCAAAGAATGAATAATTCTTTTGATATAATGCAGAATTTGGTTTATAAAACCAAATGACATAAAGTGAAAATTATATAATTTTATTCAGAATTTTATAAATTCATAGTCATACGTGGAAGAGCTCTAAAGAATGGATTAAAAGAAAAGGAGGCTAACTGGGAGCAATCTTTATGTCCAATCGGGAGATGATTCAAGAAAAATGGAATGTTATGCAGCCATAAAAATACCGATCTGGACTGCAAGACTACATCGTGTGCAGAGTAATGAACAACAAGGCATTCATCACTGCGTTAAAGGGAAACGCCAATGATGATGAAATGGGACTTCTCAGATAAATCTAAGTTTACTGGGTACTTTTAAATAAAAGTGTCTGAGTTATACTACTTTATAAATGTCTTTGAACAGGCTTTTTAATATAACCTAAATAATCGACCGAAATAATAATAATCTGCTTTGATACAAGATTCTCCACACAAAAGGCATACTTACTTAAAGGATCCTCCAAAAGACATGATACACATTTTTAGGGTTAACAATTTAGAACACAGAAACTAAAGAAAAATAACCCAGAGCACTATTTTATAAAGTCATTATTCAATACTCCAAATATTCTCAAACCTTTATAGAAACCCTTTACTCGTTAATGAAAAACTGACGTTTCCTTAGGAATAAGAAACATTACCAACACTGGTAACAAAATCTCTCTCAACTTCTGATGCCAGCTTCCACACTTTTCTTTCAACAGATAACTCAAAAGATCAACTTTCTCACTATAAATAATTTAGTTAAAAAAAACACATTTTTCTTCTATACATTTCCTGCCAATGATTTTAAATAACTTTATAGAAAAGCTCATTATTGACCTACAATTGTATACACACACTCCAAAACACTTCTTTTCATAAGTTATGTAACAAAACTCTTGTTTCTCAAAGTTAGGCCCTTGGATTTCTTTTCAGTGAGCTTATTAACAAAACAAAAATTTCTTCCCCACTATTTTTTTAAACAGTTTTTATCATCAAGACACAGAAATGACAACCTTGATAGAATAATTAACAATAAAACACATTCCTTGGTTGCCACCTTGAAAGATTCTAATTAAGCTGTATCACAAAGTAAAACATTTACATTAGAATAGCTTCATTTATAAATACCAGTTAACCGTTGAATAATACAGGTTTACAGTGTGCAGCTCCACTCATATGCAGATTTTTTACAGTACAGTACTTACTATAAAGTGTTTTCCCTTCCCTATGATTTCCTTAACATTTTTTCTGTAGCTTACTTTAAATAGCACACAAAATATGTGTTAATCTATCGTTAAGGCTTATAGTCAACAGTGGGCTATTAGCAAAGTTTTGGGAGAGTCAGAAGTCACACACAGATTTTCAACTGTGCGGGTGGTCGGTGCCCCTAACCCCTGCATTGTTCAAGGGTCAACTGTAAATACAGAGTATCAAAGCAATCCAACATCAGCTTGTCACATCTGTTTTTGATTCAAATACATGACTGCTTGACAAGTAGAGCTCTGAGTACAAGCTTTAGGCAGAAAAAGATCTCCTGACCCCTTCATAGGTCTTTTTTTGGGAGGAGGGGAATGCTGCACTTAAAATATAAAATATCTTCATCTCACAAAAGTGTATGCGCAGCTTATCAAGCTGATTTAGAATTTAGAACTCAACTTTTTTGCAGTTTCAGCTGAACTACCTGACACTTTGCATCTGTTCATTAGAAAATAATAGCTCCTTTGAGAGCTAAATAGTGTTTGAAAACTTTTTATTTGATACTAAGATGTATCAAAAGTTATGTTAAATTACTAAATTCATTTGTGTGTCATTCCATCTTCTTAGTTAAAAGATAGCTCACATTTTAGGGGCGCCTGGGTGGCGCAGTCGGTTAAGCGTCCGACTTCAGCCAGGTCAAGATCTCGCGGTCAGTGAGTTCGAGCCCCGCGTCAGGCTCTGGGCTGATGGCTCGGAGCCTGGAGCCTGTTTCCGATTCTGTGTCTCCCTCTCTCTCTGCCCCTCCCCCGTTCATGCTCTGTCTCTCTCTGTCCCAAAAATAAATTAAAAAGTTGAAAAAAAAATTAAAAAAAAAAAAAAAGATAGCTCACATTTTGGTTAGTAAATGCATTCAACAATGCCTACAGTTTAAATGTCCAAGTTCTGGTATTTAAAAGAAATTTAATTCATGAGACACCATGACCAAGTGAGGTTTATTTCAAGGGTGCAACAATGGTTCAATATTTGAAAACTTATCCATGTAATCGGTCATATTAACAGATTAAAAAAGAAAAATCACGATAGTACCAATTGATACCAAAAAAAAAAAAAAGAGAGAAAAAAAAGGGACAAAGGTTTTAAGTAAATAAATAAATAAGGGGCACCTGGGTGGTTCAGTCAGTTAAGCGTCCAATTTTGGCTCAGGTCATGATCTCATGGTTCATGAGTCCCAGTCCTGCATCAGGCTCTGTGCTGACAGTTCAGAGCCTGGAGATTGCTTTGGATTCTGTTTCTCTCTCTCTCTGCCCCTCCCCAATTCATACTCTGCCTCTCTCTCAAAAATAAACATTAAAAAAATTTTTTTAAATATAATTTAGGTTATTTCCTTTATACATTAAAACAAAAGTTGATTAAGGAATACATAAGAGAACACTGAATATTCTCATATTAGGTTAAATTAACCTTTTTTTAAAAAGCCTAACCAGGGTCACCTGGGTGGCTCAGCAGGTTAAGCATCTGACTTCAGCTCAGGTCGTGATCTCTCAGTTCATGAGTTTGAGCCCCACATAAGGCTCTGTGCTGACAGCTCA